AACGCTCATATAAGTAAGTGATTGAGATATCAAAGTTAAATGATCATTTATTGCACACAAAAATACAAATGAATGGAAGTTTTAGCACCCTTTTGTGCTACCTCTTACGCGAATGCACAATGCGATATGGCCAGGCATTGAGGCAAGCAACTCCCTTGTGATGCTCTTCGGCATCTCAGTCCACAGTTGCCATAAACAAGCCTCTAATTTGACTAAATTAGAGGATGTCCAACTTGGTGCCTCAACTAATCGCAGATATGCTCGTTTTGTGTCATATCTGGCAATCGGGTAGGCTAGGGAAAGGTGATGATGTGGCTGAGGCTGTCCTGTGACACCGTTGCTGTGTGTGGCGGAGCATTGCCCTGCTGAAAAATTGCTCCTGCGAGCCCTGTTATGAGTGGCAACACAAGCAAGTTTTGATGTTTCTAATCTCGTTTTTCTCAATAATGTTTCGTCAGATTTCGATAGGGTTTTATCCCACTTAAATATTAGTTTGCGATCAACGATGAGTATAATTTTTCATTATATGTGTGTATTTATTAATATATATATATATGCGTGTATATTTTCCAATATTTATGTATTTTTAAATATATTTATATGTGTGTTTATTTTTCAAAATAAATGCATTTTTGCCCTTTAATGGGCCATTTATTTTTAGTATAGGTAAATTAAAGTATTTTTGGAATTGAAATTCTTTTAAGAGTAGTAATTGATATAAGAAAAAAAACTCATTTAGTTTATAAAAATGCCATTTTTTTGGTGATAAATATATTTAACATGACCTAATGACTTTTATTTTCCTTATTTCTAAAATAAATTTTATAAATGCAACTAACTTCAAAATGAATTATGTATTTTATAACTTTTAAACGTTTTTTTAAACTAACAAATGATTATTATTTTATTCAAACACACTTCAAGAAAGGTAAAGTTATTAACAAATGGAAACCTAAATTAAAAGTGGTAAAAAGTGGTGGTAAGTATACTTCCCGCGGCCTTCGAAAGGGTTAAAGGCCGTGACAACAAGGGAGAATGTATTAAGCAAAAGTTTCTTTAATTAAAAGGGCCTTTCACTATACTGAACAACAAAATTTTCCAATGAATATTCAAAGACTATGTATTCCAAACCATTAATTTCTGCAATGAATTAAAGTATATATGTTTTAATATTCTTACTCGCAACTCGTGTAATAACAAGGAAATTCATACAAATTTAACGAGACTTCCATAACTTCGTATGATACGTTAAAAAATTTCTTAAAAATATAGTCTTTTTTTTTTTTGTTACTTTAGATTTTGGAAGAGACAAATAGCAGAAATCGAGAAACTACACCTTCAACCATATTTTTTACGAATAAAAATTTGCATCTAATCATTAAAACCACTGCAATTATCCGACAATTAACAAAAAAAATATAATTAAAAAAGTAGAGCATCCTAAATAATACATAATTCCCAAAAACAAAAGGTAAAATTTTGTTTTTGTTAATTTATTAGCTATTTGCATAAAAAAATATTTTCAGGAAACGTATCAGTTTCTTCACGAAAATTAAAATTTATTTCATTAAAAACAATTAATAAAAACAAGTAATTTTAATAGTAGTACAATAGATTTCTTTTTGATTAAATATAAAATATAAGGAATGGAAAAGAAGCACGAAAAATAACTACTTATTTTAGAGAAGGGTATATTTTTCAAAAAATATTTTCAGAAGTTTTAGAAAATCTAACTAAATATATAATTATTTTGTATATTATGCTTAATTTTTATGTAAATATCCTCATTATCTTTCTTAACATAAGAAAGGGAAAAAATTTTACATACCAAAAAAAAAAAAAAAAAAAATTTAAACTTCACAGCTTTTATTTCAATGGATATAAATCAAAATTTTGAGTAATTTGGTTATAAATTTTTAATACCAAGTAGTTTGCTTGAAAATAATAATCCTTTGACAAAATAACCATCCATAATAATCCTTAGCGAAAAATCGACGAAGCATTCTGAAGATATTCATATTTTGTGCTCCATTGTTTAAATAATTCATACAAAATATTAAAACGCGTTAATTAAAATTATTGTTCCAGTTTTCTATTTAATACGATATAATTGAATTTTTTTCGAAATGATTATTACTGATGTATTTCATAAAATATTTCAAATATATTTAAAACTGTTTTTCGAAAACTCGGTACTCATATGAAAAAATATGTTTCTTTTTTCTTTTTTTTTTAATCTGTTAGAAGTTTGTAACAGATATTCCTGATTGTTGGATTAAGTTTTGCCTAAATACAATACTCTATGGAATACTGAATCAATTATAGCAAAATATCATAATCGTACGAGACAATAGTTATTATGTATCGTATTTCAGTGTACTTATATACAATTTTCAAAACATATAACATAGAAATATTTATTGAGCTGTATGGTTTAAAATAGCATTAAAAATGTAATTTGTTCTGTTTTTTTTTCCTGGTATTTTATCCCCAGGAAATTATCACTTTAGAGTATATTTACTAAGAACAGTAATTAAATTTTTGCAAACTGTTAATTTTCATAATTTTATAAATTCCTAATTTCATGTCAGTTTTCAAGTCTTAGTGCATAATTTTCTAAACCATATAAAATGGAAACACTTATTTAACTCTTTTATTCATTGAGATTTATTCCATTTATATCTATTGACATCGATAAAAGCAATGTAATTATCACCTTAGATCTTCAAAGTAAAGGAAAACACCGCGAAAATAACTTTAATATGATTTAATTAAATGTGATGATAAAATTATCAATTATAGCGAAACTTACAACTTCAAAATCATCCTGAAATTTTTATCTCCTTACAACAAGAAAAAAATAAAATGTTTCATTTATTGTATGCATGCTTTAAATTTGTTCATCTAAATCGAAAAATAGTATTCCTTTTAAAGTAAGAGTTAAATTACTTATGTTCTAGTTGTTAAAACCTGAGTGCATTTTCATTTGTAAATTAATATGATATATTATTAATAAACTCATTTAGGTGTCTTGATTTCTTTAAAACTAAGTTAAGGAATAGCTGAAAAGTTTTTAAAAAAAATCAAAAAGTTCTTAACTGAATCCCTAGCTAAATTCAAAAAAATTTTCGGTCAATTATTTGAAATATATTTCTCAAAAATAGAATTATTCTCCGTAAAAATTTCAAAATAGACAATTTCCTGATATTTTATAGCATTAGATAATACATAACCTAATCACTGTATTTAAAATATTTTAATATTCTCAATATAACAAGCACATTAATTTTGTCCTTCGTAAACAGAACTTCCATAAGTAACTTAGAAAAAATTTGTCTCTTAACTTCTTTTTTCTGATAATACGCATCTGACAAGTATATATCGATTGCAACTTTTTTTTACCCTAATATACCATCTCTTAAAAGCTAGCAGAGCAAAATAGAAAAAAATATCTATATTCTTCTTATAAGAAACTTATAAGAAATTCTAAACAATTTGAGAAGAATATGAGTGATGGATTAAATATATGATTTGTGCCTTTTATAAATTAATTTTTTTCCCCAATTTTTAAAACAGTTTTATGTCAGATAAGCATGCTATAAACTTAATTATAACTTAAATATTGTATATAATCTTTATTTAATGCTCAAGTTCTTTGAGATGTAAACGATAAAGGAGAAATAACTTATATCGGGTACTGCAATTTTCGTTTAAAAAAATAACAAATTTCTCTAAATTGTCTTCCATTTTTTTTCGAATAATCTTTTAATTAAATATGAAAGACTTTTTATATTAAGTTTTAGGCTAATCAACCAAAACGGGATAAATGATTTAAATACAATTTGTATCTTAACTTGTTACCTCAATTTTATTAATTATTAATCTTCAGATAAATTATTATCTTTCAATGAATTCTAAAAGGTTTTAAATTTTCATAGCAGGCGATACACATATCTTTTGATCTAGAAGTTCGTATTAGTTTTGTGAAGAAGCCAATTACTAGCTGTAATAAAAATATTCAATTTTTCTTTCTATTTAAAGAAAACAGAAATTTTTTCATCGTTTCCAACCAAATATATACGTATGCATGGATGATTGTTTGAATTCGTCCACTGCGATACTGTGGCAATAAAGGATGCGCGGAATGAGTCACTCAAATCTATGAGCAAGCCCCTTGAAAATACAAACACCCTTGTACCAGGGCCTCACCTTCATGGAGGGTCCTCCATAGTAGCTGAATCCCAGGGAGGGATCACAATTCCGAGTCTATGGCCAATCCGACCCTGTTTAACGTCACTTCACGTACCTGCCTATTTAAAATTCTTGAAAGACCTATCCGTTTGTAGTACCAACCAATAAGTATACGTTTCTATTGGAATAAGAATCGTTCAATGGGAATAATGTGAACAACTGGTTACCATTCTCAACCACGAAATTAGGGTCCTATAAAGAGAATTATATAGAATACTATATGGAGAGTTATATACAGTACGGTACTGTACTTTTATTTACGTCGAACTATAGCTGCAGAATGGGCTATTGGTGACGGTCTGGGAAACATCCGTGAGGATGATCCGGAGACAACATCCATGCATCACATCTCGTTTTACAGGGAGAACACATACGCTCACCATCCATCCAAAGATCGTAATTTTGATCTGAAGCAGAGCACGATCAATCTCCGGTCCAGCACCCCTAGAACTATTGATTTGTTATGGGAACTTGGAGGACTTAGTAATACCGACAGATTTAACGAGCACAAAGAGATATATATGTATATAAATATATAGTACGACTACTGTTTCAGCTTTCTGGTTCTCCAAATTTATACCCCTAGATCATCATTAATTCCTGTAGTGAAACTTCTAAAAAAACTCTAATATCTCTCTCCTCACATGTGTTTTCTAAAACTGGTTGGAGAAATTTTGAATTTTCTGTGCTATATGACACGCCATGAAAAGTAGTTTAAAATCGAACTCACAGGTGGCGGCCCTAACCTACTGTGGAATTCTTGACTAACCGATTCCTGTGTGCAGACCGGAAAGTTTCTCTTTCGTTTGATGTCATCTGTACCTAAGTGATCTGTCGAAAAGTATTAATCCGGCATGTTAATCTTTAGTGAAATTAGTTACCTTTGATTAAATATAATTTTGGTGATTGTGTGCTTCATTTACATCGTTATTGTGATCTGTAATTTTTGTTTGTAATTATGAATCGTCCTCGTCTCGAAGTACCCAGAGAACTGACTAGTTTGCTGTTAGATTTTACCGTAAATGTTTTATTGGAGAAACCGGCGGATTTAGTGGACTATGCCGTTAGTTATTTTACAAAGCTTAGAGATGAAGGTCGAAGTAATAATCGTGAAGAATCTGTTCCAGCTGTAACATGCGAAGATGAAGATGCTCTAAGCGAAGACGATGAAATTGATGAGCCACCTCCTGTTAGAAGTATGTAAATATGCATTTGTGTTCTTGCATTTCTTAAATTAATCTTCATTTGAAGTTAATTTATAAATTATCTAATGAATTTCTAAAATTATCTTCGCAAAAAAAAATTTTTATTCTGTAAAAATAGCTTCTGTTTTAAGATACATTGATAAAATTATCTTCTATTTTGAATTGAAGATTCTACGTTTGATTATTAATGTATTTGTTTATTATTATATTTGATTATTACTACTATAGATTACTATTTTTCTGAGAAATTATTGATTATTGTTACTTATTCTTTAATGATTAATTAAATTTGCAGCCAAAGATTTCTTAACGTTGCATAATTTTTCAAAAGTACAATCTGTAGAATATTTAAAACAGATTTATTAACCGAATTTTCTTTTTTATTGAGCTCTCTAGATTTATTTAAACTAGCAATATTATCTTTTATTTACATTATTGTAGCTGTTAAGCATTTTTTCACTGGGAATGCAGTCATTTATATCACATAATGGGTTTTGTGTTCAAATGGACAAAGTAGTTAGTTTCTGAGAAATTTAGTACATACAGCCTCAGTATCGCTNATAAAATACTTATTCAATTTGTTTATTTTTTAAAAGTTTTTGTGTATTTTTATTACAGTGTCGGGTTTTTGAATAATGTTTTATTAAGGAAATGGTATTTATTTAAAGAGTATCTACCTAATATAGTTTTGTGTTGCTAAATCTGTGTTTAATTATTTTATTTCCATTTAATATTTTTAAACAATTATTGCTCTATTAGTGTGTAAAATTTCTTGCATTCTTATATTTAATAAATTTTTTACTTAAAATTCCTTAGAAGTGTCAAATATTGCATACCGTGCGCCTTTTTTTATCCCTCCTGAAATCTCCTGAATTCTTGTTAAGGAAACTCCTGAATGTTAATTTTGCTAGGTTGGCACGTCTGAAAGAGTCTTGCATAACATAATACAACTAATCTTCTCCTATAATTAAAGACTAAAACCTTATTGACAGGAAGTGACATTTTGATGATTAAAACACTGGTGTGTAGAGATGGCTGGGTGCTTTTGGCAAATTCCTCGGGTAGAGGCCACTGAAAAGTAAAGTGCGCCTATGCAATCCTTGAAAAGAGCAAAAAATCTTTAAAAGGATGCTATTATGCAAGAGAAACTTTTCATAGCAAATTCTGTTTCACTTTCTCTAGTGATTTAAAGTTTGGAGAAAAGTGAGTTCAGTAAACCTTGTATAGTTTCAAATGTTGAAAAAATGTTTTCAAAGCATGGAAGCGAAAAAAAAATTTTACAGAATTATATTCCCACTGTTTAATCCTGAAGAATCTTCCTGTAATATGTTTACGTTTTAATATTTTTAAGAAAAAATTTCAGCACTTGAAACTTTATTGTTTACTTCATACTTCATTGTTCTATAATGCTGGAGAAACTTTTCATAGCAAATTCTGTTTTCACTTTCTTTAGTAATTTAAAAGTGAGTTCAGGTAAACCTTGTGCAGTTTCAAATGTTGAAAAGATTTTTTCAAAGCATGGAAGTGAAAATAAATTATTACAGAATTATATTCCCACTGCTTAATCCTGAAGAATCTTCTTGTAATATGTTTACGTTTTGATGTTTTTAAGAAAAAATTTCAGCACTTGAAACTTTATTGTTTACTTCATGCTTCATTGTTCTATAATGCTGGAGAAACTTTTCATAGCAAATTCTGTTTCACTTTCTTTAGTGATTTAAAGTTTTGGAAAATAGTAAGTTCAGGTAAACCTTGTGTAGTTTCAGATGTTGAAAAAATGTTTTCAAAGCATGGAAGTGAAACCAAATTATTACAGAATTATATTCCCACTGTTTAATCCTGAAGAATCTTCTTGTAATTTGTTTACATTCTGATGTTTTTTAAAAAAATTTTCGCTCTCGACACTTCATTGTTTACTCACAGGTTTATTTGAATTCATTTTTTCTATAATTTAAATTGCGTATGTAGTTGGAAGAGAATTCGCCCTGAAGAGCTTCTCCCACAGTATAGCATCCTTTTAATAAGAGGTGGAAAAAAGTTAACATGTTCCATATTAATATTTATTGAAATCTATATTTCAAATTTATTTTTATTAAATGTATGAAGAAATTATTCTTTTGTAAAAATTCATTGTTTCCAATTAAACATAAAGAAGTTTTAAAATTATTTAGATTGTCATGTCCTAAACTCCTATTATTAAATTTGATTGGAAATCATATTTTATAGTTAAAAATATTTGCTTAAGCCAAATATTTACCTAATAAAAAATTTAATTTCCTAATAAAAATAATAATATACTTGTTACGAACGAAAAGTTTGAGTGTGTTTAGTCATTGATTAGATGTCTTGGGCCATTGCCTACTTTGTCCCACACCACACCAGAATATATGGTTTAGCATAATGCATCGTTTAGTTCATCAAAAATAATGGAACTTTGTTTTATTCTGTCGATATTTTATATAATGTTTTTTTTTTTTTTTTAGAAAAATCAATTGTAGATTATTTTTTGATTTTTCTGTAATTTTAAAAATAATTTTCAAAAACTATTTAAAATATTGCTTTAAAAGTTTTTTCAGTGAGCGCTTGTTAATTTCTAACACACTTTTGTTATATTCCATTCTTAATACCCACCGCTATTGTTCCTTCTTCCAGTTCCTTAATTTACTTGCTTATTCAGAGATACTTCCATGTCCGCACCTTTTAGTAATGATTACTATCACCAAAGCACTTTTTTGCACTTGCAAAAAATTTTAAAAAGAGAGAGAAAGAAATCTATGGTATGGCAGTGGCTACGGGTTATATATATATCTTTCAAATTTGTCCCCTTTTGTGATTTTTTCTTTCTAGTTTCTTCCCAGTTGTCGCCAACATTCGGCGACTTTCTTGATGCAAATACCAAAAATCTTCAAATTTATTCTTAGTATTTCATAAAATCTTCATACATTGCATACATTTGTATTTATCTGCATGCACTACATACATCTGTATGTATCTGCAAGCACTACATAAATCTGTATTTATCTTCATGCATTACATACATCTGTAATTATCTTCATGCACTACACACATCTGTAATTATCTTCATGCACTATATACAGCTATATTTAAGATACATTTAAAAAAAAAAAACTAAGAATAAAATTTCAAATTATCCACATTTTAAAATAAAACTAATCAATTTTTATGCATAATGAATAAATTTAAAAACTTGTGCCTGATATTGTGGAATTTTTTAAGAAAAACATACAATTTGTCTGAACAACAGTGTGACAGCCCATAGAGGAACAAGGTCTACTGTGTCTATCCCAGCTTTCTTGATCTTGGGGAAGGGGGGTTGCAGGAGCAGATGTTCAGTGTAGGAAATCAGCTGAACATGAAACCCCTATTGTTTAAACCCCAAGTTTGCGGGGTACTCTTTTTATCAACCTACTATGAAAGGTGGATTCAGTCTTTCTTTATCAGAAGGTAGAATAGAACCCTGCACCTGTGGCACAGGAACGCTATACACTGTCACAATTTTTTTCTAGTACCTACAAGTAACAGGAATTTTTTTCCCTGACCTAAGTCTGAATTAAGAAGGAATTTTTTTCCCTGGTCTATGACTCAATTTCCTACTCTTTAAATAATACCTCTTTTAAATATAACCTAGATAATTTTGTTATGACTTAGAAAAAGTCTTTAGTTCGATTAAGTATGCCTAAAAATAGAATATTAAATACTAGTCTCTGAGTGCCCACAATGGGAATAGAGGAGGCAGTTGTATTCCCATGGAAATTCAATAAATTAAAAATTATATTTTGTTTTTAAATGTTAGTTTTTATTTACATTAAGTATTACATATCAAATCTACTCTGTATCTTGAGCTAAGTGCAAAAATTACCTTTTTAAATTAGGTTATCGATAAGTTTTTTTTTTATTAAATAAAAAAATTCATAGCAAACAATTCTTCAATAAAAAAGTGATATGACAGTCATAATATAAAAAGGAAATAAAGAAGCATATATATTTAAAAAAGAAACAAATATTCATTCATATATTAATACTGCATTAAGCTATCAAAAAGAGTTTGCAAACTTAAAAATGTGCAAAATTTTTACTTAGCTTTTTTATTTATGTAGGTACTCTTTACTTAACATTTTTGCCCATATTTCTTCAAAATTTTACTCATTCTAAACATTTTTATACAATTCTACATCGTGAACTAAAGCTTTAATTGATAAGTTTGTTAAAAGTTAGTTAAAAAATATTATTCATATTAGAGGATCTACTGGAAGGTATAGACTACAATAGAAAAGAAAAAAATATACATTAAAAAAAATTTTGAAAAAAAATTTTTTTTTAATAAATTATGAAAGTGAAGGTTTTTTCTACCTTGTTAATGAATAGTAAGGAATCATTTCCCATTTGTTTGAGTCCCGCAGTGGACTGATCGTAAAGACACTGTTCACTGGAGAACACCGAAGTCGAGTATCACTGGCTGCGGTCAGTAAGTAGGTGGGTGACCACTATGATTAGCCTGCATATGGACCAAAGGTGCACAGTATCGGTCCTAGTTAAACTGTTCTGCCTTAAAGTGCTCACCTTCGTGTGCAGGTCATCGGGCTAACAAAGCAGGGGAGCCATCACCTCTGCAGAGGATCAAAATTGTGATGGCTTGTCTTCGGGTCACCCTCAAGGATGTTTCCCAGACAGCTGCCAATATCCCATTGTGCAGTTCTAGTGTGACGTAAATAAAGTACCTACCTACCCTTTTGTTTGATAATAGAGAACTTAAGAGAAGAAAAATCTTCAAGAGTAATATCTTTTTCTTTTTTTTTTAAATTCCTTTAGGTAGATTTTTAAGTGTTGCGGCATAAAAAAATTATTTCTGTAATCATTTTCATTAAATATTTTTTCTTTCAAATTATGAGGCTATTGATATTTTTTTTCTCAATGCTATGCTTTAATTGGTGTGTTTTAAAAATAGACTGACAGCTGAGCTTTAAATTTAA